TTCCTCTGGGCGGGTGGGGGATGACCGGGAGCAGAGCCTGGCACCACTGGCTCTATTGGTCTGTGTGCTACACTTGCCGGATGGGGCTGTGGTGGAGCTAGTGCTAGCTCCTGCTGCTGCTTCCACCCCATGTGTCTGCCTGCTGGGGCTGCACTAAGCTTGCGCTGGCTCTTGCTGCTGCTCCTGCCCCACCTGTCTGTCTTGTGCCTGCCGAGCAGAGCTGAACCAAGCCCAAGCTGGCTCCTGCTCCCACCTCTCCTTTCTGTCCTGTGCCTGCCCGGCAGGGCTTTATGAACAGCCAGACTCCTTCATGTCTCCCTCTCCATCCACGCTCCCCCACCCAGCCATGCAAGAGCAGTACCAAAGCAAGCTGCAGGCAGAGCCCACCCCGCTTCCCTCAACACTGCACCTTCCTGTCCCTGCGTGCTGCCTGGAGCACTTCAGCAGGGACAGGAGGAGGAGTTGCTGGAGGCCAGGGAAGTCCAGCAGTTCCTGCCTGGAAGCTGTGCCTGCTGGCCAGGGCTGGTGCCCTTGGGTCAGGGGGAAGGGATGCTAGGAGTGTAGTATGTGCTGACCCAGGTGGGACTGGGCAGGACTTGGTCCCATGTAGAGCACAGCAGAGGCAGCCACTAGCCAGGCCAAATGCAATTGGTGGGTGCCTGTCTGCAGGCTGGATCCAATCAGCTGGTGGACTGGATCTGGCCTGTGGGCCATATTTTGCCCACTCCTGGTCTAATTATTGTTTTGTATTTTGCACACTTTAGGGGTATAGCAGGCCCAGGCCCCAGGGTCACCCACTGATGCTCACATGGCTCTTGTCCTACTCTAGCTCCTTAGGTATCCTTGTTCATTTGCCATGCCTTGATGGAATTGCTTTTACTGTAGAAGGGAGGCTGCCCCAGGGCCCCAGAGCAAGCCCTAGACTGCTTTGGCCAGTGGGTCCTTCCTGTATGCAGCTGACCTCCAGTCCTATCCTTCCAGGCCTAAGTGTTCCCCCCACTTCCCCATCAGTGCCTCAAGGTACTCCTTGTGTCCAGGGCTATTTGTGGTCTTCTTCTGCCCCTACAGCCCCACCCATACCTTGCAGATGATATTTGGTATTGCTTCAGAGGAGCTGCCCAGCCTGACCACAGTGGATGACACTCTCAGGCTTCAAAATCATTGTTGGGGTTTTGGCTTTCCTGGCTTTGGCCCCTTTTCTATGACTGTGCCCCCCTCTGCCTAGGTACACTGCCCTGGACCTCAGCTTCGGGGCCCCTGGCCTTGGTTTTGCCCTTCTTGAGTTTAGACTCTGACCCTTTTGGCCTTAGGCTGCCTCTGTTGTTCCCACTGGTCTCGTGCTCTGGTCCTCTTGGTCTCAGCCTGCCTGCATCTTGTGTCGCTGCCCCTGGCATCGCTCAAAACCTTGGCATGTCCCTCAGGTACCCCTGTGGCCTCCTTTCCACCCCTTACAGCCATATTTGGCCCTCCAGTCTCAAATGCAATGCAAATACAAGCAACCACTTTCAATAAAAATCTCCCCCTACTCTGGGTTTATGCCTTCCTGAAAGCCCTACCTCTCTTTGGGCTCTTACCTCCCAGCTCTCATGAGTGGCTAGGGTGCTTGTCAGACGGGCTTCTGCAGCCTGTTTCCCCCAGATACACTCCCTATAGCAGGCAGGACCAGACTGCCTGCCATGCTTCTAGTGCTGGGCTTGTGTGCCCTGGAGAACTGCCCCTTTAGGTGACTCTCTAATTAAGCACAGGGGTTTCCTCTTGAGCTTAATAGTCAGCCTGTCTCTCTGCTGCAGCTTAGCTGCTTGCAGCCTTTATGTTCAGGCTGCTTGGAATCTGTCGCACAGCCTGCTTGTTTCAGTGCAGCTAGTTCCTGCCCAGCTGCCTGCCTACACTGCTACACTGCCTGCTGCATTTTTTCCTTTGAAGTAACAGGAGCCTCTGGCTCCTTGTTACAAGGGGGTACAGTTAAAGGAGAGTAGGAATGAGAATTAATAGAGTGAAAGATCACATGATAGTAAGGACCTTGCTGGAACCTTTACCTTTTAGTTTCTAAAATATACTGAACATCTGACTTCGGTGACATTCATGAAATTTGAGCACAGTAACTGGATGTGTTGATCCAAAAGGTTAGTGGTCCTTTGGGAAGTTGCATACAGGACGCAGAAAGAGAGAGACTATTAGGAAGATAAACTTTTAACCTCAGTTTGGAGTCGAGAAGGGGTATTCATCAAATAAAATCTTGTTTTTTAAGTGGAGAGTTGAGGTTTTTAATCTGTTTTCTAATCTGTTTTCTTCTCGGTAGATATTAGGGTGTCAGAGTGAAAATCAGAAATGCATCTCAGCTTGGTGATTACACAGTATTCTAGACAAGAAGATAGTTTTCACCTTCAAAATGTTTATGACTTTTGAATTTAAATGTAAATTTATTTAGTAGCCAAACAAGAGTAGAAAGGTTCCCAAGTGGGAGGTAAATTGTCTTTTTAAAAATTGGTTTTCAATATAGTTGTCTTTCATTGTAATGTTTGTCTTACAGACAGAAAGAGACTCATACTTATGTGAAAGAAGAAGGACCTTTGGCTTCTCTTTTGACATCTCTTGAGTTAGCTGAAGATAAATCTGTATCTGCTACATCTTCAGTACTAGAAAATAGTTGTGTTATTTCAGATAATATGGATATATACTTGTCAGAGCATGATGAAAAAGTGCCGTTGAAAAAAGATGAAAAAACAGAAGAAATGCATAGAAGTATTGAAACAGAAGCAAGTGAAACTGACACAGTCATATCTGAGGAAACAACAGGCTTGCATATACGCTCTTGTGAAGCAGTTCAAGAATACAGTGATAACAAGATCCTTGAAGATCAAAGTGAAGTAGATCAGTATACTGAAATTCCATTAGAACCAGAATTAATACAAATAAAAGACGTTACGAAACAAAATGATTCAATTTTAGTTACATCGGTGAAGCCAGAGTTATTAAACTTTGTAGGTGATTGGCCTGTAGAACAGACAATGGGGCAGAGAACCAGAAGGACTAGAAGAATAGAAAAATCATCTGTGATTAGTGATGAAGATAATAAAGCCACCAGCCATCCTCCTCTGGAATCATGTGAGGCACAAGTGGGCCTGGCTGATATTCAGCCTGGTGAAAAACAACAGGAAGACATTTTACCTTGTGATACTCCTTCTGTTTGTGGTACAGAAAAAAATGCAGCAGAATTGGAGATGGTGGGAGATTGGCCTGCTTCAAGCTCTTTAGAGCAGAGGCAGCACAGATCAAGGAGAACACGAAAAACAAGTCAAAGCCAATCTGATGAAGCTGGAAATAGTAAATGTGATATACACAAAAACATTCTCAGCACAGTGAATGTGCTTCATGGAACATCTTTGGGCATTGAAAAGCTACAGAATGCAGAGAAGTCAAATTTTGACAAATTGGAAACAGTAACTAGTGAAATTGTCAGTGAGAGAAAGCCACAGCAAAATAAGAGAATTCGGAAACACCATAAATTAGCCGTAACGTTTACCAACCATGATTTGGCCCTCTCCAAGCCAGAGGAACAGTTGTCTACTCCTAATTCACTGGAAGAAAACCTGGAAAGACATGCGTATAAACAACTGAGCAGCTATACGCAAACTGAGCCACAGGATTTTGCTCTCTTGTGGAGAATAGAGAAGAAAATTATCATTTCTGAGAGTCCTAAAGTATTAAATAGCAGACTGGATGGATTCAGACCGAAAGATATGGATTCTGCTTCAGATTCTCTGGAAAAAATACCGTATAGAGTTACATATGATAAAAGCACATATGTAGAAGAAAGTGAACTTACCAGTATTGATGAATCTGAAAATCTTAATATTCTTTGTAAACTCTTTGGCTCCTTTTCATTTGAAGCACTGAAAGACTTGTATGAAAGATGCAATAAAGATATTGTCTGGGCCACTGGTTTGCTGCTGGATTCTGATGAAAAGTTGTATAAGGACAAAGAGATTGAATGCTTACAGGAACAAGGAACAGAAGCACTGGTCATCAACCTTCACTCCAAGGCAAATACAAACTGTGGAGATAATCTGAATAATTCTGAACAAACCAGTGAAATGATTATGACTGATGGTGTTCAACTTTCAGAAGGCAATAATTTATCTATTTTTGATACAGAGAGTAAAACTACAGATATACTTGAAACAGATGCTGAAGTACCTGATTCATTAATGAGTCTTTCACTAGATTCTTTGGTAGAACCCAGAAATACCAATGACATTGCTTCTCGAACTGATGCAGAAACTACAGGAACAGAAATGGAGCAGTCCATTTCAGAGATACAGGAAGTAAACTTAAATAATACGAGCCTGGTTTATGAAGTGGAAAATAAGCTACCAGTCTTGCAGCCTGATGTGGGTTTATATGCATCTATGACTCTTCCTAATGTTCTTAACCCTCCTTCTGCTATTTTGGAACCTCAGTTAAATAAGGATAGAGACAGTGAACTTTCAGAAAGAGATCCAGAGAATCCTGAAGTAGATAAAACGATTATTCAGTTCTCGCAAATGGATCAAGCACCTTTGATGAACCCTGCCAGTGACAAGCAAGAGTTTGGGACTGATAAAGAAACTCAGGGGAACCCTATGATATCTGTTGGGAATGTTAAAGAACAAAGTAAAATCTCAGATAGCAATGAAGACAAAACCAAGATACCAGTTTCTTCTCAGTCTTTGAATATAGATTGCCTAGAATTAACATTACCTGCTGAACTGGCACTTCAGCTGAAAGAAATATTTGGGCCAGTTGGCATCGACTCCGGTAATGACATACTACTTCATAAAACATATATTTGCAATATAGGTCTATTAGTGTTTTTAAATTTAATCTTACATTTTATCATGCTGATTTATTTGGGAAATGCTTTTGATGCAATGGCACTATTCAAAATCTATTGTTACTTTATAATATAATCTCAGATGGAACATAATAAAATATAGCAGTAAGTATAGCTATTTTCCCTTTTTAATTGTTCAGCTCTACCTATATTAATATTTGAAGTAATATTGTAAGAGAATATTTGAGCTTGCCTTGCAGTTCAGAAGAATCTAGTTTCAGACTGCTAAGGTTGGGGAGATTATGATGGAAAAAGGTTGAGTTGGTTAGAGAGAAAAGGGACAGAAAATCTTAAAAGTAGAAGTAAATGAGGAAGGAGGAAGCTGAAGAAAGTGTTAGAGCAAACCTTTTCTTAAAAGATATTGTACTGGACTGAGTGGAAAAATCCTAAAAAAAAATCTGAGAAAACAACTGAAGTTGCCTCAAGATACAAAATGTAAATCAGAGGCAAGGAGAAAAGGGGGAAGAAGGAAGACACCATGAGAATATCGTAACCTTTTTGCTTTTCCTAAAGTATATTTGTTATAGATTATGAATCTACAGTTTCAGTGGATCTGGACATGTTCTATCACATTTAAAGGAATGTGGGTACTATTAATTCTCGGGCCTGTTCTGTTTCTTTGTTTGTTGTATATCAGTGTCTTTTTCTTTTTCAGAGGTTGCTGGATGTAACAGGTGTTTGTAGGAAAAGCTTTATCACACAGTTGCCATGATCACTTCTGCTTATTTGATTAGAGTAGAACGGGGTGGTCAATGTGCAGCATGGGTGCTGTGTGTGGGATGTGGCGGGGGAGAGGTGGAGGGGACTGTCTGTCTGGTGGGGCGGGGAGTCAGAGG